GTGATAATTTCAAAACCAGAAAAATATGTAAGTGTATAAAAATGAAGAAAGCGAGATTTGATCATATTCCTTTACTGTATCATGAGAAGTTGTGTAATTTTTGAGATAGAATATTCTTCAATATTTATATTTTTGGGCTGTGTTTGTGTACTTTTCAGTGTGTTTTGTGCTAGTTCTGCACTTTTCATTCTAGAGGATTTTGGTTCGTGTTGCCATCCCCAACTTCTACCAATGAATTCTAACAGATCTTAAAAAAACATTAGTTAAATTAAGATTTAAAAAATTAACAAAGTTTAGTATGGTATGTCTGCTCAATTGATTTAAAAACATTAGAGAACAGTAATAAATATTTGAAGGTGAGCAGAGAAATTTTATTAAAAGGTAAATATATTCCACCTATGGTTCATTTCCTCGTGCACATTGTTGCATACTAACTGAATGTGGTCGCCGACCATTATACCGTTTTAAAAGTATTTTCATGGTTGAAAATTTGTAAATTTTGCATAACTCTGTTCAAATAAGTTCAATCAATCGTAGTAGCTAATAATGTTATAAGGTCTTTCCAAAATTTACGATGACCTTGCATGTTACCTATATTCGAACTGATAATATTGCAATATTGAACTCAGGAACTATGAACTGATAACATTGCAATGTAAAGATTGTATTCGCCGTAAAAATACTAACGGGTATCAATGATTGATGTTAATAGTTACAATTTAGTACCGCTACATTTTAAAGCTTTTTTGCTAATATGCATAAAAATGCACATAAAAGATCACATGTAAGCTGTTCTTCAGCGTTATTCCCAAATCTTAATATAAAATAATTCTCAATTAGTTCTGAAACTTCTGTCACAAAATCTTATACAGCTACCTTTAATTCTTCCCACGATTTTTTTAACACATTCATATTGTTGCCCCTAGTTTTTGAAGAGTTTGAAATCCACAAACTCAGCCTGATTTGTGTTCACTTCTGCTTCTGCAATTTCTCGATGAAGCTCTCGATTTTTTGTAGGTGAATGTATATAAACATTAAAATGTGACTGATTTGCGTGCTTATGTAAATAAGGTGTTAAGTTTAATGAGAATCCTTCGTCACATTAATTTGAAAATCGGAATTTCACGCTTAATAATGTAAATATGTAAGTGTATGAAAGTATGAGTAAATGAAAAACCCTATTGACTTTGTAAATAAAAAAAGAGTAAACGTTGTTCAATAAATACCTCAAAATTGTGTTTGTTTGTAAAATAATTCAATAGGTACTTATAACGATTAAGGATATTATATCAGACAATAATAAAAGCATATATCAAACAAATTAAGACAATTACAAAGTAACAATAACTCCATAAATGTTCCGAAAATAACTAGCTAAAAACGTCTTCTGAAAAACTGAACAAAAAATTACCCCCGGGAAAGCGGGGGGAGGGAGAAAACGCAGCGCTCGAGACAAATTTGTTTCCCGTCGATATGCGGGCGTTTACACGGAGTTAGGTTGTAGGAGCGTTGATACCGGAAACGAGTGTTACCTCTGCCCATCGCGCTTTCTGATCTCTGTTGCCCGATTTAGATAAAATAGTGAATGTTGCAGATCATCTAATGGATGCGGTTATCAAATCCGCTATGACTAGTATTGTCCGACGTACTACAACAAGTAACAGGTCTACAAGTACAGGTACGACGTACAGGTCTACAAGTAAAAAACTGCATAGGTTTTTTATACATTTTCTTACAGATTTCAAATGGGTAAAAATGAAAGAAGTACCAAGAATATTTCATTTTCTTTCAACACTCAATTTTTCTTTGCATTTGGCGTTCTAACTAAAGTTCTTATTAAAGTGAAATATAGCATTCTGTTTCTTGTTTAAAAACGCCTTAAATCTAAGACTTCTCACATTACTTGTGTTAATTGTAGCGGAACTTGCCAATAAATGAAAAATATGTTAATGTTTGGTAGTGGTGGTGTATTACTATTAACAGGAAGGAAGCACGTTCGTGTCGAAACAGATTACAAGTTGATAGTGAGTGATATGAGCATGTTTAGACTTAATTCAGGTACTATGAATAAATATAAACAATGTGTTGTTGGATTAGACGTTTCAAAAAGTAAATTACGTTCAATCATATACCAGCCTCAGTTTATATTCAGCATTCAATCGATACTGTGATTGTTATTTTATTTCTAAAATATGGCTTGTTTCTGACAACTTCTGTTGTATATTATGTGGTGAATACATGGTAAAATACCAACAAAGAGACATGAATGAGTTTGGGAAGAAAGTTAATTTTGCACATAAGAAATTGAAACGTGAAGATCAACACAAAACATGAGCTCCGTATAAGGTGTGCAGAAGATGCGAGGAAGGTCTTCGTTTGTGATTCAAGGGTAAGAAAAACTCATTTCGTTTTGGCGTACCTATGAACAGAAAAATCACGCAACCGACTTCTACTTCTGTTTGGTTGGTGTGAAAGGATTTAATAAAAAAAAGAAAAATAAAGTAGCTAACCCTAACATTGACTCAGCTATTCATCCAGTGTTCCAAGCCTTTGAAATACCATTTCCACAATAACTTAATTTAATGACATCCTGAGTGAGTCAGAGGACTCAAACGCATTAGATTTTCTGAACGAATATAGTTTAGGTATTTATGTTACAACTTGTTTCAGAGTGTTCTCAACGATCTAGTAAAAGACTTGGATCTTTTAAAAGATGCAGCCTAATTTCTAGGATTAAGTCTAAAAATCCGAAGATAAAAGGGTATCATCTGGGACCTCATTTTCGTGATACAGGCATCGAGAGAGAAAATTTTCTAAGTGTTTCTCCAAAGAGGGAATTCTAGTTCATTGGAATGATGTTCATGAATTCATGAAGTGCTTGGAAATAAAAAAAAATTCATTAGAATGGCCCACATTCATTGATACGTATAAAACTCACCTCAGTGCAGTCTTGATGCATAACGAAAATGTATTTACATCTCTTTCTATGGGACACTCGGTTCATATGAAAGAAAACTATAATGCCTTGGCCACGATACTTGAAAAAATCAAGAGCATCAATTGATGGTTTGTGGAGTTTTCCAAATGTTACTCATGTTGTTGGATCAGCAGGGAGGTTGTACAAAATATCCTTGCTTTCTTTGTTTATGGGATAATAGAGCCACACATTTGCACTGGACAAAAACTGATTGCCCTTCTCGAGACAGTGTAACCCCTGGCACGACGACCATTCATCAGTACGACCCTTGTTCCCCTAGAACAAGCATTATTACAACCTCTTCATATTAAATTAGGGATTGTTAGTCAGTTTGTCAAATCACTGCCAAGAGACGGGGATTATTGCTGATGTGTGTTCCAAGTTCCCGAAACGTCTCTGAAGTCAAGTTAAAAGAGGAAGTTTTTATTGACACCGACGTAGAAAACTTCTGATTCCTCTTTATAGAAATATAGGGAAACAAGGAAAAATAAGCGTGAGAAACTTTCAAGAATGTAGTGCACACATTTTTGGGAATACTAAGAACCCTGACTTCAAAACCATTGAAAAAGGCATGCAGGCAGCATATGAAGCTCAAGGATTCATAGACTTATTATTTCTTACACTTCCATATTGACTATTTTCCTGAAATTTTGAGAGCTTAGAGTGAAGAACAGGGTGAACTATTTTACCAGGATGTCCGTGTTTTGAGAAAAGTATCCAAGGAAAATGGGATGTCAATATGTTAGCTATATACTGTTGGATACTCAATCAAGAAAGCAAAAACCGAAACTGGAAACGAGTTAGAAATCATCAATGAACAGAAGAAAAGTTCCAAGAAAAAACGGCAAGGTATAAAACTGTGTATAAATATCAGGAACCATTTTTTGATTCCTTGTAAGCTAATAAATATATTTAGATAAAAAATGTTTTATTACTGATTTGTTTACATTTCGCAAAACTACTAAACGAGATGGAATGTTCTGAAAGTCATTTTTAGAATCTGTAATATTTTAAATATCACAGATTCTAAAAATGACTCAGAACATTCCATGTAATTGAGCAGATATTTCCCATGCAGCTAAGTTGTTTGCAGATTTGTTATTATCATACATTTACGATAATTCGATATCATGTACAATTTACGAAAAAGGTATAATAATATCACCAACTTGTATTATGTAGTTGGTGAAGGATACTCCTCTCCTCAGAGGGAGTCCTCCTAGGAGAGAAGAAGGATTACAATGGTTTAAGCAGTACTTTTGTGTTCTGCGGTCCCCTGAAGCACTTTACTTCCGGAGATATAATGAATTCCATTTCATCATTGTCCATTAATGTTAATTAATTTACTCTAAATAAAATACTATATTACTTGTTCTGGGAACATTCGTCAATGGGCGAATTTAAACATGTCCTTTATTCATTACAAAATTCCATCGAAAGTCTCATCAATAGGGCACGCAATTTAAACGAACGGGGAATACCATATTCACCATTTGGCGGCAATTTGCGCGGAGCAACATTGCAGCGTGATATCTCATTCCCGTCATCTGCGGAAGTTCGAAAAAGCCGATGGACGCTCAGCTCTCCGTATGTGAAGTATGAAGGACGCTCGTCACGTGATATTACTGTATAAAATATAGTCGCTGTTTTCCGGAGGGTCTGTGTGTAATCAGCAGTGGCTAGAACATGTTAAAGTTACTGCTCCTTGTTGCGGCCACGAAGGTGAGATTGCCATCCGATTGTTTTGAATATCATGTCATATATCGTTTCATGTATGTTCTATCCAATTTTATTAAATCATCATTTCAGAGTGACCAAGTAACTTATTTTATTTAAACATTTAGTGTTATCTTAAACATGTTTTTAATTTGGAAGCGCTAAGAAATCTGTGGCATGGAGTGCATGCTCATGAATAGAAATGTTTCTACGATGTATCTTTATAATCGTACACTTAGAGAAAGGTTTTTCTTACTTACCTAATTACTTAAGCATTCGTATAGACTTCCATTACCACAACAGTGAAGATCATTCAAAAAATATTGTTGTGATTTTAAAATTGTGTTTCATAGAACCAGTAATTTGGGTGCCTTACAGGATAAATTAATGAACTTCACATTTTCGAGAGCAGTGTCATTTTCAATACATTTTCCTTTTTACTTCAAATTAGTAATTTAAGGGAACTCCAGTTTTTGTCAATTTTTTTAGAAAATATGCTGTATTTGTCCTCAGAAATCTTTAGTCAATTTGTTACCCAAAAGCTCTGCAGGAAGTGGAATAACTTGTATTTCCATTCAACGAAGAATTTTCATGATTGTTGTAACTGCACATTCAATAATTTTTTATTCATATAATTTAATATTTTAGTTCCATGGCCGGAGTACTACAAAATTAATTGCTATACTTAAATTGTTACTATAATATTAATTGCTAATTTGGGGATGCAGTTGAACCTCATTTAACTTATCTTATTGTGAACACCTTTTAATTTAAAAAGAAATTAAATTCACATCAAGATTTGTGGTTATTAGAAACTAGATTAAAATTTTACGTTAAAGTGAATTATAGTACATACATGCTTTGTATCACTAAATTATATTATTCATTCTTTTCGTAATGATATAAAAATATTAAACACATTGTGTGAGTTAAGTTTTCTTTATAAATATTCAATTATTTTTAGTTGTTTTCTTCGCTTTAGAGTATTTTTAGATTCTTGTATTATATGACGAACGGTATATGAGAAATTGCAGGAGCCTGAACAACTTTGTTTACATTTAGAGCTCTAAATAAAAGTACCTTACTGTCAATACATCACGTCGTGCTTGTCTTCAAAAGTGGAAGATATTACATCGACTATAAATGTAATAATTACCGTTCCTTGTTCACTTATTTTGAATTACAAAACCATTATATTATTTCGCGGTTTATGTTTCATAATAGACAACTTTTCAGATTTTCTTTGGGGTGTTATTCCTCTAATCTTGTTTGACAATTCTATAACCATCCTTTTCAGAGCCTCTTCTGTGCCGCTATGCTGGTTATGAACTGGAAGGTACGGGTTGTGCATCCATACTGCGCACCAGTTCTGATCAGAAAAGGCCATGCAATGAGAAATAAAAATTGTACGCGTTCAGTGATAAATTTTTAAGGGTATTGCACCACCTGGTAGAGAAGTCCACCTGCAAACTTGATCCCGGGACACGCCACCAACTCAATGCCCCTTTAATAAACTGCGAAAATAACAACCGATATTCTTGTCTTGCTTCTCGCTGAGTGGTTGCTTGCGATTTTTGCTTCCAGCTGGTGGTCGCCGAGCACGCCACCAACTAACTGGCCTTTAAATAACCTGCCAAAGTAATATGCAAAAACAACAACCGATATTCTTGCCTTGCGTCTCACTGAGTGGTTGCTTGCGATTTTCGCTTCCAGCTGGTGGTCGCCGAGCTTCAGCTCTTCCCTGAAGACGGGGGCCTCGCGGACGGCGCCTATGACGAAAACAGCCTCACGGCGTTGATCTTCGGATCACGCGTGCGCCGCCAAGCCGACGCGGACGACTGCGGTGACAGCGCCAACGACATTTTGGACAGGCAGATTCCTCACTTCGGGCCTCCGGGCAGAGGGCCACCCAGAGGAGGTCCCCCTCGAGGAGGTCCTCCCAGAGGAGGTCCCCCAAGAGGAGGTCCCCCAGGAGGGCCGCCCGGAGAAGGTCCTCCAGAAGACTCCGAAGGTCCAGGTGGCCAGTCCAACTCCACAGCCAGCGGCCCCGTGTGTCCCAGGCCGCCGCCGCCTCTTAGGAACAGCACCGACGGCCAAAGCGACCCTCCGCCTCCCCCTCCCGGCGGCCATCACGGTGGCCCTGGCGGTCGTGGGGGCCATGGGGGACGTGGGGGCCCTGGTGGCCGTGGCAGGCCACGTGGTCCTCCGCCACAGGAGGTGCGTTGCCTCCCATCCATTCGAATCCTATTTAAGGAGAATGACTCAACGTTTTGCATCTTTCAAATGAGTAGCCAATAGCGGCTATTGGGACCTAAAGGGACAGAATTTTAAGTGGTGAAACAGAGCATTTAAATATTATCTATTTGTGGCGTTTATGTGCAAATTTGGAGGCGTTACTTTAATTACCATTGTAGAGATTAATTGTTTGTTAATGTTTATTTAACACTATAATATTGAAGATTTTCAAAGCCATTTCATGCCATAAAGTCATGTACAATTTGTCGAATACATGAGTAGTTTTCGCATTGTTTCCTAAAAATGTATCCTCGTAAAGATCTCATTTTCGTTTCAGTCTCTAAATTTTTAAAAACTTCAAAAATTGAAAATCATGCAAGAAAGTATGTTCTGTTGTAAAACTAGAAATTTTATTTTCTTTGCTGAATTTTCGTATATTTCAGATTGCAATTCTCTCGAGATGTTTCGCATTGTGGAGATTAGAACATGTACCGAGCTAGGAAATTGCTTCTGTCAAGGAAAATACATCCTAGCATATCGGTTCCTAAAGGATGATACTTGCAAAGCTTAGAGCTTCTTTCCTACCCTCCTACACCCCGTATTTTAGGCTCGCCCTGTTTGTTTCCAAACCGTCTCACATTTCTCTTGTACATTTTTGGATGATGAAAACTCTCCCCGTTCTTGGACATAATTTATGTAGTATTTATAGTCACATCTTGACGTGTTCATCAATCACGTTACTTACCATCCACATGCTAGTCCGCTGACTAGTTTTTCTTAGCCTTCAGAAACCCGAGATACGGGATCATCTGTAGGTTGACGAACACACATTGTTCAGGATTTCCAGTGTCTGTGTTGGCGCCTGCTCTAAGTAGTACTGATATCTAATGAATGACAGTACTGCACAATCCCTGAATCTAACATTAAACTCCCAAGCCTCCAAAGGGTTTCATCTGTGTCTTACTACCCTAAACTCTGTGAAAGTCTTGAGTACTTTCGTTTGTAGTCACATAACGACTTACAACGTGATTTCAGTTCATCGAAACAATGTGGTTTCCAGATCCATGACATTTAATAACGACTTTAACTGTTTTAATGATTCTTATATCCATCCGCAGTATGCAGCACGTTTGAGGACCACCATGGATTATTTCGATTCTTAGAGCGTTGCAATATTTGCTTCGTCATTTCCTGAAATATTCTAATAAAACCAATATTTGATACATAAGAGATTTGAGAGGACTTACCTTCGAATTAGAGAACAGTCGGAATTGTTAAATGAGAAGATAAACTAGTGTTTTATTTTAAGCTTGCATTTCGTTCATAAACTCATTACCCCGAGCAACTTGCCTAATATGCTGATTGCGAAATGTTTTACGACTGTTTTTTTCTGACAAACGTTCTTTGCTTGCAGAAACTCTGCTGCAACTGTCCGTTTGTAGACGACGAAATTGCACAATATAGGAAAACATGCAGGGATGAATTAGACCAGAAAGAACAAGAAGCCGGAAACACAATCGATGAAAAAAGACGTGAGTTAATTTGATGCTCGATAACAATTTAATTCAGAGTAATGCCAATGACAATGCCGCTAAATATAATTAAATCAAACTTGCTACTTACTTTGTAATATTAGTAATTAACTTGTTTTTACGTTGTGTCACAAAATTAATAAACATCTGTGTATTTCAGGTTGTTGTCCGCGCAGAAACAGAGTAAGTCATTGAATAGTTTTTATATGAGGGAGTGTATTATTAGTGTAAAAACAAAACTCTGTAATTCCATTTTGTTTCAGAATATTACGCTCTGCGTTTTACGAAAGCTTGAAGTAGTAAGTAATATTTATTAGGAGTATGTATAGATTCATGTTCAGAATAAGGATTTACAATTTTACCTTTTTACTTAACCAGGTTCCAAGTGATAGTGAAAAGATCGAAAACGTGTCGGCATTTAAAACGAAAATTTCGAAAATAATCCAAGGCAAATATCCAGAATGGGGTACAAAATTCGATGACATAATGAGCAGCTGTGAAGGTAAGATATACAACAACTGTATTACAAAAATGTATAATACATTTGTATATGTATCTCGATTCATTTCAAATAATCATTCAGCTCTAGGCCATTTAAGTGTTCTTCAAAACAACCAAGTGTAACTATAAGTTTAGATAATATATTTTTCGTACAATTCAATTAAAAAGTAATGTGTTAAGGATGTTGTACCTTTATATAAAACAATGCTTTTTATGACTTAAAAATATGCGATAGTTTGTAATCAATTGCTGCATTTTTACTCATGTTTTTTTATTTTTTTTCCAAAAAAAACTTAATTTTTATTATTGTCGTTTTTGAAATAATTTATTGAAATTAAAATAGGACTGGTTTCCCATATCAGATTAAAATATTTGAATTTTCTTAACTTAAGATTTTTATTTTCACCATTTATGAACAGAATACTGATGTATGTTTCTTTTCATAAATTATTTGGCAATTTCGTTTCAACGTACTGCAATATTTTTTCTTCATTTCTAAATACAGTAATTGGAAATATATTAAACCTGTACGTTATTATTGATAGGTACTCAACTTAGTGTCTATACATTGTGGAAATGCTTATGTAGTGATGTTGACATTAATTTATCCATTCGTGTCCATAAGTAGACATTTTAAGGGTAATTTTTACTGTTCTTTAAATACAGGTGAAGGAGAAATGGAACCATTTTTCAACTGCATGCGTAAAGAAAAGATTTTGGTATGTATCGGTTTCCAGTCTCTACTACCAACACTACACAGTTAGATTCATTTTCTAATTATTCTCAATTTTCTTTGTTACAGCAATGCCCCGAGAAATATTGGGATTCCAATTGTGAGTATTAATCAAAGATATTCCACTCTTAACTTTAGAAATCACGCTTTAAAACGAAATGAACATTCAAAATAAATGTTTACCAACAAACTATTTGTAGAATTTTAGTATAATCAATTCTCGGACAAGGATTATTAATACAAATCTTACTAATACGAATAGTGGAACTTCAATAACTGTAAAGGTATCAAGAAACATAATATCTTAATTAAAAAATCAGAATATATAATCTGTAAACTAAAAATAGGTACATAAAGAACTTATATTATATTTACTTTTATTTGAAGGAAACCGGTAAGTGGAAAATTGAATCTTATCTCAGCAAATTTTAGTAAGAAATTTGGTTAATAGTTTTGATCGAACTATGCGAAATTCAAGCCAACAGAAAATGTCAAAGTTGTGAAAAATTATCGTTTTCCGGAAAACGTGAAATCAGAATTATGAGATCTGGATGGTCAGAATATTACTCGGACTCGACTCAACCTAAATTTTCAATCCAAAGTATCACGGGATTGAAACGCGTTTAGAGCGGAGATGTTATTTTTGTCTTCAAATGATCTCGCTAACACTTGACCACAGAACCGGGGAAGCCGCAAGTGCTTGGAGTTTGGTTCAATTAGAGTATTCGGACGGGTCGTTGGGGGAGGGGGAGAACGAGGCGGGACGAATCGGAGGCGGGACTGTACGGGGCACAAAAGGGTGGGACAGGTTGGTACATGACGAAGTGGAGCGGGGCGTCACGGAACAGGAAGGGGACGATCAACGCGAGGCCCGGAGCCAGTTTGGGTCGGGGCGGGGCTGGAGAGACGGCGAGAAACAGGTAGAGCTTCACGATGCTGTACATAAAGTTACCATTTCCTTTTATTTTACACTGTAGATAAAATTAATCCATTTTTCCCTCTAAAATATTTTCATGACTATTCCTTTCGCGAAATTAAAACCAACAGTATTTAACTACGCATATAAAATGCCCCAATCAGGGCGGTGTATCTCAAAATGTTTAACACATTTTATGCGATTTTTCTTGTCGCTTCTCCCTATCATGGACCAATCATAAACCGTGACTCATCTATGTTAGAAGGTGGTATACATCGACCGCTAGTCGATGTCCAATAAACCGCGTATGAATTATAGTATAACATAACATTTTTGATTATCACATAACTTCCAGTTATTTTCAATATTTGGCGCTTTTGAAACTCATATTGGACATAATTTTGTCCGTGGAATAGTCCTAGAAAATATCACTTTGGAAATTCTAAGATAAATAAATTAATGTATATATTCGAAATTAGAAATCAACAAGTTCTCAGAATAAGTGTAGAGTGCTCAAAAATGTTGTTTGCTAACGGACATGCAATGAAAATATTTCACACAACATTCAAAATAGGTGACATTTGGTTGACAATAGGTGACCCTGATTGTCAGGCAACTCATTTTGCACTGTTGTTTGGCGGATCACGTTGTCGTAGTGATTTCGTTTATCTGCGCTACAACTACGCAAGGACGGTTGCCTACGTGACGGACAAATGTTCGTGTGCTACATCATTAAATGTAATTCCCTAATGCGTGCCAAAAAGTTATTTTTTACACCTCTGTTCGTTGTAGAAGTTTGTAACATTTATTCTGAGACACTTATGGTTAATAATTGCCATTAACATTGTGAAAAAGTAACCAGTTTGTGTAACCGTTTTTACTGTGTTCGTAACCAGTTTTTACAGAACTGTTTTAAAGTGCATGTATGAGTCTTAGTAGTTGGCATGAGTGTAGTTGAAAAACATCAAATTCATTTAGAATTTTCAATTTGTTCGTATTGAATAATTACGTGTTTTTAATTATTTATAAGAGAAGTCACGTATAAATGTAGGGAAGAATGTTCCAAATTTAGGTATTATTACAGTTAGTACATCATATTTTTTATTCAATAAATGATTTAGAACTTCCCAACTCTAATTAAATTTTGGAACGATATTCGCAGTATTTTGTATGCATCAAACTAAAAGATCAATTAATAATTTGTAGTTATAACTAGATAGAATAGTTCATATGAATAAATATACAAAGGTGCATTGGTTTCAATGAATTTATTTTGTCTATAATGATTTCCGATCTCGAAAATATTAAAATATATCATACGTTCGTGTTATAATATTTCCGTCCACGACTTGAAACTAATGAATTCATTTCCACTCCTTTCCCTGGTTAAATTTTTTACATAACATAAAAAGTCTGTGTTTTGCGTTGAAAATATAAAAAAAATACAAGCGATAGAAATAGACGTCATTTGGAGAAGTTGCATGATCTCCAAATTAAAACATATCCCAAATGAAAAAATAAAACAAAACGAATCTAAGGAGAGTTATAATTGACAGAATAGAGTAAAAAGACTGATGTGGTATAGGCTGCTAAGAAAAATCGAAGAGGCACAATGGCCGCTGAAAGTATGTGACTGGACATGAGCTGAAAAAAGAAAACGAAGACCGAGGAAAACTTCGAGAGATGCTGTATGGAGAGCGATGATATCCAGATCCCTGGACTGGGAGAGGTGGGTCAGGGTATCCACTGATGTCACTGCAGTGCCTCTGAGCAGGAGGTCCTAGGACTCGTATCTTGACATACGCAGGGTTTTCGACATGAGCTAGACAGTTAAGTCGAATTCGGTCGCTGTCTGCAGGAGAATTCTAGCGACTGACTGCTCTGATAGATAATGCACTAAACGTACGGGACTAATTACCCTAGTAGTTGACTTGCCCGGAATCACTAAAACAATCAATCAATCAAATAAAAAAAATATTTAGACGGCGATAAATGGCAGCTGGCAAGAGTACTTGGCACGTCTGAATTGCTAGCCGAGACCAAAGGAAATAGGAAACTAATACGGGAAAGACTGTGCCATTTTGTAGCACCACTAGTTGTTTTTTGTTAGATTGTACTTATCTCTTCCCCTTTTATCGACATATTGAAAAGATCATGAACTAGTGACCAAAGACAAGTATTTAGTACAATATAATCCTTAATGAAATACTAAAATTATATTACTAAATGAGCTTAAATGTACACAAATGTTGTGTTTATTAATTGTTGTTGTTTCTCGTAGGTACAAGCTGTGACGAATGGAGGGTGCGACTGAAGTCCGATTCTTCTTAACCTGAGACGCCATGAGATATACCACTTCCTGTGATTGGAAGATGAGTGACTGACAGGGAAAGTGAGTGAAGCAAATTGATAGCAGAAAACATTTATTAATATTTACTAATGTTTGCTGAATAAACTTAGTAATGCTGCATTAAGAAAATTAAACGAAAATTTATTTTTAACTCTATTCAGTTATTAATTATTTCAATGTGTCTCTTTTTTGTTTTTGTTTAAATCTCTCGTTTGTGGAAACGCTTTGCCTCTGCCCCGTTGAAGTGCGTCTGCCCTTGACCTGACGAGAGTATCGAGATAAAAATATCGTGTTTCTTCGTCCAGCTTCTATTCTCTTGTTCTTTATATTTTGTCGCCTTCTTTTCTTCTTCAGTGAGATTTGAATGTCGGCGGAACGCCTACCTATGATTTTGGCTGGCAGTGAGAACCGTATCTGAAGCAATAGACTAGCTGGGAGGTGAGCTGTGTATGTTGTATGCTCCCTGAATATTTGGGGGTTTAGTACAACCAACGTCTCTCGTTGAGCGAACCCCGGCGAGTCCTGGTGATTGCTGGAAGTGCGTAGGGCATAATGTGAACATCGATACCCTTGTCCTTGACTTCTAGATGGGCAGGCGGGAGAATTTCCCCTGATAGTGTACGGTTGGAAATAAGTCATGCCCTGCTAAATCTTCTGCGCCATCCACCGGCTGAGATGGCTCA